TTTTCTCAGATTCTCAGAACTTCTTGTGTTTGAACTGCAGACATGCCCTTTGAAAAACAGAGAGATTTATTTATAATTGGCTAGATTTGCAAGCTTGCTTCATTACATTATTTCCTGCCCAGAGTTTCTTAATACTGAATAGAAATTATTATGAAAAAGTCTTACTTCAGGGCATTTCCAGGCTACCAGGGCTGAAGCAGAACCTGTCATTGCTGGTCCAGTTTTATTCCTGGAAAAATCTGCTAAACTGAGCCAGAGTTCAAGTCCGCAAGGGGAACACATACACATATAACATTCGTGCACGCACTCAGTGAGTTAGTTCCAACTCCTGTTGTGGGACTTTCAGTCTGATGCCTTTAAACTACACATAAGCAGTTGCTCTGATACCTTTAAGACCATCTTTTTTTTTGCAGTGTCCTGTAAAAGCTATTTTATGAATGTATCCGAAAGTCAGGAGTACCCCTACTTTTCTTTTTTGCCAACTCACTGGCTGTCAGTGGAGTAAAGGTGGTGATGATGGTGGTGGGGGATATCTAACTCTGCATGAAGTATGGGAGTTCAGCCTAAAATGTAATATGGAATCTTTACCTCTGAGCAGAACTGTGGTTTCTTATGCCAGAAAACAATATGGGCTCAGCCAACTAAGGATTAGCTGTTATTATTCTGGCTTTTTGTTGCTAAATTTTTTTATGCTAAACCCATAAGGAGAATAAAAAATCAGCTCACTTTAGAGGTGGTAAAGGACTGGGCAGGGAGTTCATACTCACCTGTGATTTCCTCACTCTGGTACTATATGGCTGACATCTTCCATATACCAAGAGACCTCCAGAGCTCTGCATGATCTGCCTTTACTGCTGTAAGGGCATTTAACCACAATAGAAACGAGTTTCATAGGAGCACTTTTAGATATATACAAGAGCTTCATCCAAAGCCTATTGAACTTATAAGTGCATTTTCTTGATTTTAATCGGGTTTGGATTAGATTGTCAGAGAACTTAATGGAGCCACTTCTGACATTTTGTGCGGTAACAATCTGCAGTTCAAGCCTCTGACCACACTTCAGCAATTTGAAACTCAAAAGATTTCAGTGTGGAAAGTCTGTACTTCATTACTCTGCTTTAAGGGGAGGAAGCTTAACATGTAATAGAAATGAGTACGAAAACTGCTTACTTCAGAACATTTCCAGGCACAACTTTTTGTAGTAATCCATTTTCATTCCTGGTGGGGGCTTCCTTCCCAGTCCTTTATGGATCGAAAAAGACTTCATCTCCCTAAACCCCCCAGGATATATTAAGACCAGGACTAGAATGCATTGGAAAAGGAAGTTTCCATCCCACAGAAACTTCAGAATTTCAACATTGGTTCTAGTTTCAAACCAAGATGAGGAGTTGACATTTCAAAGCTTTTCAGAGAGTGAAATATTCCCCAGAACTCTGATTCAAAAATGTCAGTATTTTGTTTCAAACTGTGTCCACCAAACCATTAATCTGAGCTGTAGATTAGAAGTACAATATCCCTATTCACTCCTTTGCCTAACAAGCTGATCGAGCAGTATCTTCCTGTGCTTGGTGCACATTTTCACGATGAGTCCCGGTCACCCTCAGTCAGACGAGTATGCCTGGAGGTCAGTGTCTTCTGGGCAGGCTTTGCTAGCTCTTCAGTCTAAGTGAATCTACTTGTGCTGGTAGCTGCATCTTTTCTAGAGTATTGCATCTTTGGCATCCCTGATAGCAGCCATTCCAAAACCTCCCCTGTGTGGTTTTTTCATGTTATACGTGGATGTTGAAATAAACAATTCTGACTTCCTGTTCCTTGCTAACTCTGCAGATTTCAGGGTGGGGGGCAAGGGGGACTGGTGACATATTTTCACCCATACCTTCATTTTTTGCGGTGCGTACTCTGCAGCCTTGACGGAGAGTGAAAATAATATTGTGGAAATAACATATTCTTATCTCAACTCAGCCAAACCTGTGTTTCTTCTGCTCATAGAGAAAAAAAATTATTATTCTTATGAACTGTGTATTATTTCAGGAGCACTTTAATATTTCCTTATCTGATCTTTTGCTTTCATAGGACTCTAACTATATAATGTCACATAAGACCCACCAAAAATAGTGTAAGAGATCTGGATCTTTTCATTTTAAAGCAACAGTGACTTCTTGCAAACACTACCAACCTTCTTACTGGATGTAATTACCTCCAAAAGATGGAAGAAGGATTTCCCTAGGTAATGAAAGGAAAAAAAAAAAAAAGAAGTGAACATGGGAACGTGTTTTATTTCAGGCATTAGTTAATCACTCATAAGGGTTTTTAATGAACATTTTAATGAACATATTCCCAGAGCTCTGGATATCTATTAAGACAGGTAATCTAACAGACTAAAGCAAAAAGCAGAAGCCTTGGGGAGAAAAAGGAACTTTATTTAATTTCATCCAAATTTTTAATGGTATAAAATTATCTGAGAGACTACCAAGTACAGGAAGATTAAAACACATTTTGTACATGCCATATAAGTTTTGATGTTCACAAGAGTTCTCCATTTTGCTCATACTTTCATTTGAAAAACAACATTTCATCAAAAGACTTATTTTGATGCTGTACGCTAGTAATGGCTGTCCATCTCAAAAAGAGAAATGAACCTCAACATAACTTCCTTTCACACCTGAGATTTTCCTGACAGTTTCCTCTACAAGTTGTGACCTAGCTCCAAATTGCTCAATTTATAAATTGGCTTTAATCAGAGTACAGCCTGTGGCAACACGTGAGCTGGGGATTCATAAAGTTAAAAAGGTTTAAAGCAGTAAAGGTTGGTTTTGAAATTGGTTGCCTCATATCTGGATTTAAGATCCAGTCCTTGTCACATCCAGGCAGTTCACATGTTCTTTTCAAAATAGGTGAAGGCATGAAGATTTGGATACCACTCTAGACTGAACTGTTGAGTGAACATAAAATATATTACGAGCAGATAAAAGAAGCAATTCTGGCCTTTCCTATAGTATCTGGGTTCCCCAGCAGGACTCTTCTCACTGAGGGTGCTAGTGAGCTGTGATGCACTTGAAGGAAATTAATCTGTTTTGTAGGCATTATGCCGTATAGACTTCAGATCATGCAAGTGATTTTTTTTCACATCTTGTCTATACAGAGGTATTAATGAAAGTTAAAGCAAACCAGTCTGTGTATATCAGAGGTGGTTCAGCTCCTCCTCTTATATTCTTATTCAGGAAAAAATAGATCTGAATCTTACATGGTATTACTGACATAATTTGTGTATCTGCACTTGGAAGATCTGTATAGAGTAGTCATAGCCAAGATAATCTTACCTTTGCTTCAGCTCTCTAACCAATATTTGTCATGGTATTTATAATGTGACAAAATGTCTCTTGCAGTCTTGGTATGACTAAGTTTTCAGGGGAATGTATCATTTATATGCAACCGTTACTCTATTAGCTCTCATTAGTTCCTCTGGAGACATCATAATACAATGCAGAAGCATAGGAGACTGACCCTTTTCTGACCAAATAGAAGTGGGTAAAGTCAAAGAAATTTGATGACAGATTTCATCAATCCTGAATCTACACTTATAATTTAAATTAAATTAAATTAATTATCCAATCAATATGACAAATAACCAAGGAAACTGCTATCGTGCTACTAGTAAAATAATAATGTTAGAAACAGGAATTGAATTGCTAGAAGTAGATACTAGATATTAATCAAAGCTTGCATTTTCACAGGCAAATGAAGAGAAAGTGTCAAACCCAGAAGTATATCTTGGATCTACTAGCAGAAATCTACAACTCTGCGCATGTAGATTTGCACAAATAAGGAGTGGTAGTGTGAATGTTTAAGTGGGCAAGTTACATATGCAGCCTTTATGAGCCTAGACGATAAGTGCCCTAGTTTCAAGGACACTAGTTCAGTTTCTAGGACGTAGCTCTCTGATTTAACTGAAACTTACAGATGCAGGAAAATTTAAAGCACTTTATTTAAAATCCCGTGTGTTTATATATACTCTGTTTGGATAAAAGTCTTAGCACAAACTCTTTAGAAGCAGAATTCACACACAAATATTTTTTCATGGCTTACTCTGCATGCCAGAATGCTAGAAGACCTTTCATTTTCTAGTATGTATAAAGATAATTATAACACTGTGTGGACTTGCTTAATTTCTTGGATTTCAATTATTTATGTGCAAAATCATAACTTGGATTCAGAATTCAAAGTTCAAACAAAAGGCCTCCATTAGAGCTGTGCTAAATAAATTTATATTCCATTTATTTAATTTTAAAGGTATTTAGTTATAATTTTATAGTTGATTCTTCTGGGAACTATAGGTTTTTTGCAAACTGGGAAGCCTAATTTATCTATTCAAGTTTTAAAATTTTGAATCAAATAATTTTGCACATAAGCATAGAGTCTGTTTCAGAACAGGTAATTGCATTTCTTTTTTTTAGCCATACCCTCCTTCTTTATCAGATCTTTAATGATGTCTGAACACAGGCATTGATAGTGTGGAATGGGATTATTGTCAAACATAATTAAAACCACATGGTTTACCCAACTGTATAGCAGGTAAAATTTCACTGAGATCTCAGCCATGTTACTATATATCTTTGCTGCTCTTTACTTTTATCTGTCTGCTTCCTATCTGTCTTCATATCTATTTCAGGCATTTTTCTTTGTGAAACTCTAAGAAGTGTAATTTCTGATAGGACTCTGACCAAGAAATGTTCACAATGACCTAAAAAAACAACCTCCAACAATACCCTTTTCTTTCTCTGGACTGCAAAAGCCATTGAGTACTAACCTGCTCACTATCTCACGTCTGAATTCAGTTCAAACTCCCAGCCAGATTTGCTCAGCCTCTTTCATTGCTAAGGTACTTTATGGCCCTCTAGAGATGCTGAGAGAGAAATTTGGCGGTAATTAGTTACAGAGATGGATCGAGCAGTCAGTCAGTAGGTGCTCACGTTGAACTGCACATCTTTCTTTCTTGCCAGATCGTTGGCTGTGACCGCCAGCTGGGAAGCGCTGTCAAGGAAGATAACTGTGGGGTCTGCAACGGCGATGGGTCCACCTGCCGGCTGGTTCGAGGCCAGTATAAGTCCCAGCTCTCAGCAAATAAACGTAAGCTGTCCCTTCTGGTAAAGTGCCATCTTCCCCTCTTAGTGAGATATGTGTTTCTTACAAGCTAGATTTCACCCAGCTCTTTCTCAGGCAGTTGAATATGGTCATGGTCAGTGTGGTCATCCCCACAGTTTCTTCCCTCTTGGGTCAAATCAGGTTGTCTCAGACTATGGCTCTGGCTCTGGGGTGGACAGAGGATTGTGAAAAGGTGTCACCAGTATATTCCCCATCTCAGCTAGCCAGTTGCTTGGGAGGAGTGGGAGAACGAGAAGAGCTGCCCACATTGCTGTGGTTGTATTAGCTGTCCAGGCACAGGGCTCAGTCCACGCTGCCCTGAACAAAGTTGTGTGTGTTGGTCTACAGCAGAGGGGAACCCTGCGGGGATGGTGGTGCCAGCCTGGCACAGTGTTCCCTCACAGAACTATGTCCACACCATGTGTGCCTGTATGCTCAGCATGGTGACTCAGTCCTAGGGTGGACTGAAGTGCTTAGGTCTTCAGAAGGTGCCGACACGGTCGGACATGGACAGACATGGGCTTTCCTGCACACTGTCTGAGCCAGCTTCAACTCAGAGTGGTAAAGTAGCATTAGTGTGCCCCAGTGACAGGGTTGGCTTATCCTGGACACCAGGCAGGTTTTTCAGCTTAGTTACAGCACCACAGATGGAGCTATAAAGATTTTGGGATGAGAGATAGGGCATGTCTGATCAGCTTGAAGGAAGGGTAAAACGGTGGGAATACTTTCATGATCATGTAGCTACAACAAAGGAATCATATGTGATGGCCTGAAAACCTGTCCCCAGCCCTACCCAGTGGCATTAGAGTGTAATCAAACCAGCTCCACCATTTGGGAGTACTTTTTCCAGTGCTGAGTAGCTCATGACCCAAAAGACTCAAATAGCAGCATAACATCTGCTGAAGCCTGCGTGTACACTCGTGGATTCCTATATAGATAACATTTAGTTTCTGTGACGAGCAGTGAGAGGTTTTTTTTTTAATAACAGCTTCTCTCTGTCAGAGAATAACTGCTTGGGTGTGGAAAACAGGACACAGAGCAGTAATTAGCATGGTGGACCTCGGGGTCTGTGTTTGCTGAGAGGGAAGGAGTCGGAGAAAGGAAAAGAGAGGGAAGGAAGGAAGGAAGGAAGGAAGGAAGGAAGGAAGGAAGGAAGGAAGGAAGGAGAGAGAAAGAAAGAGACTGGCTATTTTGTATGAAGGAAGGAAAGGAATAATCCTCATAAGAGTTCCGTTGCTGAGGCAGAACTGCACATTAGACGGCAAAGAAAATAAATCACAGAGATTTAGGAATGGAATTTCACCTCATTGTTACTGTTTCTGCAATGTGCATTAACAAATTCAGAAATCTCCAGGCTGCTTGAGACATGATAATATTTGTGATCTTTTTTGGCAAATGTTTTTTCCTGTAAGAATAATTCATTGTTTTTAAGTTGCTTTGTGGTAAAAAGGCGCTCCTCTCTTTTCTATTGAGGATAAAGGCACTAATATATTATGCACAATAGTGAAATGTTAATAAAATAGAGTCCCTATCCCAATTGTTTGCTATTAAATTTAAAGATTGCTATATAGGTAGAAGAGCTGATGGTAGAGAACATAGTCTTAGAGTGAGACAAATATGAAAAAATTGTTAGAGAATGGATTGTTTGGTCAGACATATTAGCATGCAAATAATTGTTTTACAGAACTGAAGTAGATAATTTGATTTTTTATGCAGTTCATATAAACTTTGTGGTGGTGGTGGTCTCTTCCCGAGACATACCTGTTGATGTGCAACATAGTATGAATTTCAAATGTATCAAAATTTAGTGTTGCTTTAAATTGGCTTTTTATAATTGTAAAGGCACACTTACAGATCTCCTTCACATATGTGAATTAATATGAATTCTTTTTGAGGCTTGCTTCCAAATGGTTTATGTATGTGCTGTGAAAATTTGAGATTATATATGTTGAAAAGCATTTTAAAAGCTATTCTGTGTTTATTTTCTGCATTTATCCTCCTCAGAGCTGTTTAAACACCTGTCATTTTGGTACTTTGTCTGTGTCAGCATCTTGCTTATTTATCACTGTAAACATTATCCTCATAAGTGTATCTGGGATCAGGGCCTTATTTCTTTACTGGAATGACTGGTTTACATTTGGCAAATCAATAGCTTAGTTCCAAATTGCCTCTATAAAAGAATCCTGGTTTCTCAAGAGTTATGCTTATTTTGCCTGTGACATGAACAAGACATTAAAAGCATATGTGAGCAAGACTGCCGTGCAACTTAAGAAAAATCAAAATGGGTAGCGCAGCAGTGACCAGATATCAGCAGATATCTGTGGGTGTTCTGTAGGCTCACTTGGGATTTTTATTTGCCTAACAGAGCACAGAATTCAGTCTTAAGGACTGTGCTAGGGAAATTATACAGTGACCTTTATTCTAGCACTGTCCCAATAGTTTCTGAAGTTGTTTATATCTCAAAACTATCCCAGACACAGTCTTGAGCTCATCATACTGAATTAATTTTCTCTTGGTGCTCATATCCAGTTCCCTTCTCCATGCCATTTATATCATGAAAAGACATAGGACAATAGTACTAGAAAGAAATTCATAGACCTTTTAAACACTTAGCACTTGTTATGGGAACAGCTTCCTCAGAATTTATAGAGGTAGTATACATCTCCCAGTGGCCTCAGAAACAGAAGCATAGCAGGGCAGGAGGGAATGTGACATTGAATTCTCCCCTACATTTTTATGAAAAAGGAAGCACCTGTGTCTACGCTCATGTTTCGGGGGGGGGGGGGGGGGGGAAAAAAAAACCAGAAATATCCTTTTCTCTTAGTTTTAAGCTTGGGTAGTTCAATCTTTATAACTCTACAGAAAGGAAAACTTTTTCCTTTTGGAAAGAGCGTGTATATCTTCCTGTAGAGATGAGCTGTATTTAAGCAGGGTTTGTTGTATTCACCAAGGAGCTAGAGAGTTCACGCCATAAGTGGTGGGTGAATTCTGCTGATCATCTTACGCAAAGTTAGTATTTCTCTAAAAATGGATTGACATCCACTAGTGAAGTAGATTACTTGTAAAAGAGAACTGTAGAAATTGCTATACTGATGCACAATAGATACTTATTTGATTACTCTTACCATTGTTGTCAAAACTAAATGCAGTTCCAGATTTCTGTTGAATGTCAATAGTAATGGGGAAATAGAAACAACTCAATTTTTCATCACGAGAACTGACAGTTAAACCATTTGGACAAAATTCAAATTCAAAATCGAAAACCAAAAGAAACTGATCTCTCGTGGGAACCTGTGCATGTACATGGCATATAACCTTTGTCTAAATCTTTGCACTTTCTTCACAGCCCTGGGCCACTGTCCCCTCGGTTACCTCTCCCCTGTCTCTCCATGCATCTTCTCTGGAGGAAACCAACCACTCATTAACACACTCTGCGCCTTTTCTTCAGAGTGCTCCACATATCTGCTCCATAACCTGCCATTCTGCTTCTTGTTGGAGGGAGCTGTGACTAAATATTACCGTGCTTTCTTTCATATGTCTCTTCACGGGAAATGTCTCCTTATCACTGTTAACCTCAGGAAATTATCCTTCAGTCCCTACTGCTTCTGCTTTGTGAAAGCAGGAAGCACTGTGATAAGCATAAATCCCACTGAGCTTTGCATTGCACGTAAAGTGTGCTAGGATTTCAAATGGAGAGCAACGACAAGATTAGGTGAAATATAGTCCTAGCAATACCCTGGGGCAGAAGAGGCATGCTAAGAATATATGATATATAAGTTTGCATGATCTTTAAACTGTCTGATTTTTCTGTGACATACCAGTGAGTTCTTAGCTCTCCATCACAGAGCTCATAAATGAGAGACAGTCAAATATAATAATGACATGGGACTGTCTTTATATAAGACTTGTAAAAAGACTATTAATATTTTTTTTCAAAAATTGAAGTTATTGTTTTTCCCAGACTCATTCCCATAAATGTGATATATACAGCAGAATGATATTTCATACTCAAGGATTTTCTTCCCCAAAATGGATAAAATATATTTATCCTACTGGGTATCTTCAATATGAGTGCCAGAATGGTACCAATAAAATCAGCATTAGAATATCACTATTTGATGAATTTTGTGAGACTTGAATATTTTTCTTTTCAGATAGAAAACTTGCATTCTGTGCAGAAATGAAAGATGTCTATCATTGTTAATTTATTGGGTAACAGAGATATGTATGAGCAGAATGTGTATTGAATAAAGCTTAACCTGAGTGTTACAGAAGTCTTAGGAGACACTGAAATTTCTGGATAGGTTGAGGAAACATCAAATCAGATTTTGAAAATGGAGACAAGGTTCAGAAGAGCCTGGACACATCAACAGGCTCTGTCTCCACACAACTGTTGTGACACTCAGAGTTTTATCAGACTGCCTACATTTGCCCCCTCACTTCTAGCATACTAAGATGCAACAAAACCATGGATATTTCATCCCATAAAGCTCTCCAACATAACAGTGTCAGAAACCTCCAATATAAGAGTGATGCATGACTGAATTTAAAATTTTAAGGGTTCTAGTTCATATTTTTGGGATAGTATAGGTTTGGATGAATGAAAGTAAAGTCTCTTTTTCTTGTAGTTTTCCCTCTTTCTGTTGCCTCTCTTCACTTTTTGATATAAAATTACAAAATGAATAACTATTTTGCTGGTAACTGAGAATCCTGATTTAGCTAGGCTGGAACAGTTTGGTCTGGTCAGAAACTTAAAACCACAGCTCATATGTTTGGATGACAGATAATATTGGCTGAGTTAACCTTACTTGAAAAAAGCAACACATTGCTTTGAGAGTAGAGCTATAGTTCTTGCTAGTGGGCATTACGTGGCACTGATGTGAGCAGTTCTAATGAACTGATAGTGGAAGAGGCTTTGTTCCTCTCATGTCTACTGCTGCCCCGAGCAAAAATCTGTTAGGCATGACAGAGGCATGTTAGGCTTTTTGTTTCCTGACTTCTAGTTAACGGAGAAGGAGGCACAAAGGACAGGGAAGGGTGAATGAAGAACCAAGGCATGCTGGTTAGTTCAGGTCAGCATTCTCTGGGCACCCACTCCACGATACAGGCATAGAGTAGGGAGCATTTTCCAGCATCTTTCCACACCTTTCCTTCCTGTCTCCCTTCAGGACCTTATTGAGGTTGCTGCCTCTTTGGAAATGCTGACCTAACTAATTTTCACAGCGGCATGTGACCTACATGCTAAATTCACACCCCAGTTTAAATCCAGTTGGCAAAGCTCCCAAGAGCTTCATAGGTGAAAGATCCTGCTCTAAGACCTGTTTACATGACAATCTAATGGGCTTCTGTTTTCCCAGGGGCTTTCTGTTAATGGTGTGGAAAGGGAAGCAGAATTATAACACTTCTAGTCATTAAAATAAAAAGGTGTGAAAGAGAAGGCATGTCTGAGGGCAGTGGGAGACCATCACATAGCATGGGCAGGGTCATGGAGAAGCTGTAGGTTTCAACTGGGAAAGAGTCAAGTGAAGGAATTGGCTGTTTTGGTTAAACATCAGAATAGGTTTATGCTGCTCTACTTCACCACAAACACCAATTCAAAAGACTTGGAGGAAGTTTAAGTGAAGTCATGGTGAAATAGAAATCTATTAGTTACTCTTTAAATCCAGAAATGGTTGTGAAGGAGTTGAGAATAAAGAAAATCAACAGGTTTGGGTTCTTCTAAATAGAAAGTTCTTATTAGATTTAATAAGGGGTTTTTTTTCCCCAAAAGCTTCTGTTTTCATTGCCTTGTAAGCACCTATTTAACTGTTTATTTTAAAACAGATAGGAATTTCTTTGCTTATTTACACCATGGTTTTTTGCCTTCCCACAGTGGATGATACAGTGGTTGCTATTCCCTATGGAAGCAGGCAAGTTCGCCTCGTGCTGAAAGGACCTGATCATTTATGTAAGTAGAAAAAGTTAGTGTACATTTGTTTAAGAAAGTCTTGCTAACCCGCAGAGCTTTGTTTACACTGTGGTGTCTGGTTTCCCTCTCTCAGATCACTGATTTTGACACAGGGATGAGTCCTGCCCTCGGAAGCTGTCCTCGGACCCAGTTACATCAGTGGTACATGCTCTTTTCAGAGCAGAGCCTGGCTAACATTGCAAAATCGTTTGCCCCTCCATAATTTTTCAGTCATTTCTGTTTGCTTATCCTTTGGCTGGCTCAATTGGTGCCAAGTGCTTTTGTTTAAAATTAATAAAATATATCCCACTGAGCGAAGAAATACTGAGGACAGTAAAGTATAAGCTTCCCTACAGCTGAGACTAGCTATCAAGCTGCTCATGACTTTAACACATGTTTCTGTTATGATAATCTCTCTCACTGCCATAGATGCACAGAGGCGCATGCACACACACATACAATCACAGTCTAAAGATCAGGGACCGCATGCCTAAGTCAAACCATGCTCCTTAGTAGTGGTACTGCCCCAAGGAGTTAAGACCACTGAGTGTTACTACCCCTTCGTTTGATGGCTATGACACTTCCTGCTTCATCTGACTGGGAGATGTGTATCCCACCAACTGTGTATACCTCTTAACTGGGAGAAGAGTCTCAGGATTGGAGAATATTCTGAGAGAGCTGAAGGCAAATCCATTTATTTCATGAATAGAAACTCCTTGAATCCCTCTGTCTTACCTTTCAACGCATTAGCTACTCACAAGATGCTTCTGTTTTAATCAGCAGCAAATGATCACCAGAGTGTTGGTAAATGGGATTTACTGTCAGAAAAAAAACACAAACTGTACTGTGTAACCTCGCAGAAGCACAAATTATTATAAGTAGTGCTCCCCTACTCCTTTTCCAAAAGGTAATGGGACCTTACTGCAGCACAGATCAGTTAAAAGTCCTCTGTGCTTGTCAGTGTAAATACAAACATTAGTGCCAGCAAAGAGGTGAAACACCAAATCTTTCTCACTCTCCAGATTTCTTTTGGCCAAAGAACTTATACTGAGTGGCAAAATAAGGGTGCTTTATCAGTCCTGTTCTGTAGCACACTGCTTGTGTTGAGAAGGCAGTGAACATGCCACAACCTTTTTATGGTTCTTTGGGTTTAAAGCTGTGAATAAAGACCAGCAAATTACAAGTTATAAACTAAGAATAAATATATTATGTTTTCTTAAAAGTTCAAATGCTGCCTGTACTTCAGTTTTAAGTGGCCCTTCGGGTATTCCTGAACTGCACCAGTATGGTTGTTATTACTTTCCCAGTAAATGATTTGCACTCTTCCTTTCTCTCCTGTCTTCTTTCCCAGTATAGATGTTCTCTTCCAAGGTAGAAAAATTTCGTATTTTTATTATTTTTTCAGTGAAATTGAGCTATAAGGCAGCTTTGAGAGAAATGAGATTTTAGCAGGGAAGGTTGATCTAAAGCTGTCTTCGCTTGGGCCATATCACGTTCCAGGACAAAAAGATTTGAAGCAGTGAGGTCTGCCTGAGTCACTGGTTGAGATTTAGGTTAACTGCTCTGTGTAAACATGAATAAGTCCAAATACACCTCTTTCTTGTTTCAGATGTCTCCATGAATCTTTCTATTCACCCATCAAAGGATTTTATATATGTATGAGCTACAATCAGGTGGGGGGTGGGGGCAGTATTTTGTCCTGTGAACTCTGGTTGTGGGAGAAGTCAACAGGAGGCCAATTATATATACACAAGTCTTAAAACCATCTTTATCCCTAATGCATGCAGCCTTGTCCAGAAATAAATATATGGCCGAGTGCATCACAAAGGAAGAGACCAGTCTGACTGAAAACCAAGGAATTCGTTAATACAGATCAAATTCTTAGTGTACTGCCTCAGCAACTTCCTTCATGAATTAATTCCCAAGATCCATCCTGAAAAGCAGCCTAATTACTGCAATTATCTTCCCCCTATAATTAACGACTTAATACATGCTAATAAAAACATTTCTCCCATTTACTGTCTCTGAAAGTATGATTCCATCACAGATTAATAGCACCTCTCCATCTAATTCACATTTTACCTTAGCTGCCCCTTTGTGTGGGAGATTTTGTGCATAATTTCACAAATACATGTGAAAGAACTACAGCTTTGCAATCCTTCATGATGAAATGTGTTGTCACTTTGAAATAACTACAAGAAACAGTTTACTGGTGAACATGCTGCAAAACGTAATCTGGAGTTGGTGGGGAGGCTACCTAGGTGATGGAACAGATCTACTTTTTAACTGTTGATTTCCATTTAATAAATTATTTGATATGATTATTATGATTTAACAATCAGAAGTAACTGCTGATTGTTACTGAAGTATCTGAAGTAATGCCCACTTTTTGGGACCTTTGAATGTGGAGAGAGCCAGAGGGAGAACTCAGGAGGACTCATTTGCCTTCCCTTCCTACTCGGCTGGGATGGGTCAGAATAATTCTGGAGAGGAGGCAGGATTGCTGTCATACTGACATTTCTTTGCTGGACGTCTTGCTTTCAGTTAATTGTCTATCACAGCAACATGTGGTTAGTGACCCACCTTTGAACTGAAAGAGGGAACAGGAACTTAACAAAGCCAGCACTCGTGGGTGAAGGTCTGAGTCATGCTCCATGTAGGAGCGTGACTCACTGAGAGTCAGTTAAACAATAGCAAATATGCCTAACTAGGAACGGATTAATATGTCTGGAAGAGAGTAAGAACATGACTATGGCAAGGAGGTAAATGCAGAGCTAGAAATCTACGGGTTGAACAAAGCCAAAAAGCAGATGGAAGAGAAAAAAGTATGGGAATATGAATAAACCGTGGAAAAGAAAAGTTTTATTATCACTAATTTAGGAGGCAAATCTGCACCACAACTGTTTTGTGTAGGTTTTCTTCTTCTGCCTTTACTTACTCTTCAAATTATCATACTTTAGTTTCCTGTTAATTTGTTTTTATTTGTCAGATTTGGAAACCAAGACCCTCCAAGGTGTAAAGAGTGAAAACAGCCTCAGCTCCACAGGCTCCTTCCTCGTGGAAAATTCTAGTATTGACTTCCAGAAGTTTTCTGACAAGGAGATATTAAGAATATCTGGGCCTCTCACTGCAGACTTCACTATCAAGGTGAGGGTCATTGTCCATTGATCTCCTAGAGAAACATAAAGTAGACAAGATGCATTAGAAAGATGAGAGAGATTTTTGTAGGTCTTAATTTTCCAGTAGGCGTATACCACAAATCCTAGTCCAGGCTAGCTCTTGAATTCTACATGAAATACTTTATAGTTAAATATCTGATGAAAGACTCATTTGACGCTCCCTGGGAAAGAGACTGAGTTTATGCCAAGAAAGGCATACCCAATGTGTGCCCTAAAGAGAAAAGGCAGATTACTTTCTGTATGTGCTGCTGAGGTACAAATAAATCAAGGACTTACAGTTTGCTTCATCTATGACAAGCAAAAAGAAAGAAAGTCTGTATCTTTGGCCCATAATTTGTGGCGTTTATACTAGTGTAATTACACAGAAGACGGTAAGGGAGTGGAAAATGATGTCCCCAAGCTCCAAAATAAATGGGATGACTTTGCTTGAGAAGTCATGGTGTCATTTTGAAGTTCTGCTTTGTGTTGCACTGGCAATAAGAATAAAATTGTTTCCTCCCATAAGAGCATTTCTTTTCTTCCAGGTAATATAAAACACATTGCTGGAAGCAATGCACACATTCTGTGGGAAAACACACATACAAAAATGAACATTTGGGAATTACAATAAAATAAATCCTTTTCCAGTAGGTCCAAGGAACCTGAAGGATTTCAGCTGTAAAACTGTAAAACCTGTATCATGTCCAGGACTACATAAATTTTTCACCATGGGGCCCAGAGGCAGATGACATTTGCTTTAACCTAGAGCTGATGGCAGCTAGAAGTTTGAACAGTGAACTGGAAAATGCAATAAGTAATTGGGTTGGGTTAAGTTGGGCTGGAATGGGTTAGCTTGGGAAGTAGCAGAGCCCTGTGGACTATTCCCTACCCATCTTGGCATGTTAGCAGCACAAAAAGCAAGCTGAAATAGCAGGACTGGTTCACAAGGAGAAGCCTGACCTGAAGAATACATTCCTTTCCCTTTGAAGGTTAGAATGAAAATGCCTCAATAAAACAGATGCTGGTCAATTCAAAATGTCTAAAACACTTTTACCTGTGCTACAGATGATATCCAGATGATGAACATCAGTGCAATGTAAACGGTATTGCTCATGTTGCATTACTATGGATTTAAGGCAGCCTGGTTAGTAAGAACATATCCGTTGGGGAAAGCTGGTCATGTAGACCAATGTAACCAAAGGTAACAGGAGGCTTGGACTGTGTTCCTGATATTTCCACTGTTATCTTTTATGACAAGGAAAACACCTGTATCCCTTGGTGCTCACATTTCCTTCCCTATCAAAGCAAGGTAAGTAGCGCTGGGTAAATCAAAGGCAGTGCTCTGCTTATGTGATGACTGTCTGGCCAACAGGAGTGTACAAGCTGGCTAGGAATAGGCAGAACAGACACTGCTCAGTTGAGATTAAACTATTTTAATAGTTCTGCTATGTGTTTGCACCTTTTGAAAGTCAGATTAGCATGGCTCAGCAAGTGTTAATTCGTTGTCGTGTCAGTTGTCTTCAGTGCATATAGAAAAATGCACAAACAAAACCCCTGTTCAGAGTTATAGGATCTTTTCTAAGGTTAGCAGTAGGTTTTGCCTTGGATCAGGCACTTGAAAATTCCTTGCATTTGATTCCAGTTAGTTATTTAATTAAAAATAAACTACAGAAGATACTTTAGATACTTCATGTAACAAGGATATTATTTAAAAATTTTTCTAACAAAACTTTTAGCTTCATTTGTTAGATTTTGCAGGATATAGGAGAGTATATACAAATAATAATCATATAGGAGTACCAAAATGCATGCATAACTCTCAGTTACATTAGACTTGGGAACTGCTTTCCATACTTTATAACTATAGCCATGACTGTTTTGCTTTCAGCTTGTGAAGGTAAAGTACTTTTCTTTAAAAAATCAGATGAAAGGCTTCTCTGTAGTATTAGCAAGTTTTCCTTGTAGTAGGATCTACTGCCGGGCAGAAAAGGACCTGGGGGTGTTGGTCGACTGTCGGCTGAACATGAGCCAGCAGAGTGCCCAGGTGGCCAAGAAAGCCAACAGCATCCTGGCCTGTATCAGGAACAGCATGGCAAGTAGGACTTGGGATGTGATTGTCCCCCTGTACTCAGCGCTGGTGAGGCCTCACCTTGAGTACTGTGTCCAGTTTTGGGCCCCCTACCATAAAAAAGACATTGAGGTGCTGGAGCGGGTCCAGAGAAGAGTGACAAAGATGGTGAGGGGTCTGGAGAATAAGTCTTATGAGGAGAGGCTGAGGGAGCTGGGGTTGTTCAGCCTGGAGAAGAGGAGGCTGAGGGGAGACCTTATTGCTCTCTACAACTCCCTGAAAGGAGGGTGTAGAGAGGTGGGGGTCAGTCTCTTTTCTCAAGTCACAGGCGACAGGACAAGAGGAAATGGCCTCAAGTTGCGCCAGGGGAGGTTCAGGCTGGATATTCGGAAAAAGTTTTTCACTGAAAGGGTTCTCAGCCATTGGAATGGGCTGCCCAGGGAGGTGGTTGAGGCACCATCCCTGGAGGTGTTCAAAAGACGGGTTGATGTAGTGCTGGGAGGTATGGTTTAGCGATGATGCTCCTTGTTTGTTGTGTGGGTGTCTATTTTTGTCAGTTAGGTTGACGGTTGGACAAGATGATCTTTAAGGTCCCTTCCAACCTAGAAGATTCTGTGATTCTGTGATCTCTTTGGGTGTCAAAATTTACTTTCCTAGGACAAAGGAGTTTTTATGCAAATACATGTAAATGAATTTATAGATGTAGCAGAACTTTAGTTTTAGGATCATTGTCTCCAGAATGACTGTTATAATCCTTTCCAATTGATCCTGAATGCTCTTAATCAGAGAGGTCGTTAGACACCTGGATATAATTCAGAAGTAGAAACTCAATGTGGGAGTTGACATGTAAGCTTCTTTATTGGTGACGTGGAGGGCTTTAAAATTGGAAGAAGAAAGCTCATGTTGTTCCTGTAGGAGCTGAATTGTATAATTGCTGGATAGCTTGACTTTGTAATACTCAGTGGTACATTCCTTGTGTGCTAAACTCTTGGCAATTTTTTCACAAGATATGTAAATGACAAGACAAAATTCAGTAAAACAAATCTCCTTTTAAAAAATAAAGGTATTATCATAAAACAGGAGAAGAACTGAAGTTTTTCATGTTCTTATGTTTTCTATGCATCGTTTGAGAATTATAAATCTACGTTATAAACTTCTAATGTTTGAAAGGCAGAAGATCTGGAAAAGATGACTGCAAACTTAAATTCAACGTGAATTTTGTTCCTAAATTCTGAGCATTTCCCTGTTTTGATGTTTTTAATACAAAATTCTGATTCATGTGAAATGCCTTTTTTCTAAAAGAAAAATTGGTCATGTTTGATAAAATCATCATGAAATGAAGGTCAGTTTCACCTGGAAATCTTTCTGGCTGACACTGTGATCTAGAGAACTGAGCAGTAATATCCCATAGGTGGACTAGACTTTATTGTCCGAGCTGCCACTGATTTGCTGTGTTGCCAAGGTCACATATTCAGCTGTCTGTGTTAAAAAGGCTCCTCTGTCGATACTGTCTGAGTGACCATTTCAAGTCCCACATCTGCACTCCTTTGAGCAGGAGGAATCAGTTCTGTCAGATGGGGTCTACAGCTGATAAGGTAGTGCTAACAGTCAACACTGGTCAGCTAAAGCAGTCAGCGCTGCAAATAGGAGCCACCTGAGTGAACCACCTGAGTTACAGGCTTACTGAAGGGGAAATGTTGGGGTTGGCAAAGCAGAGCCTGTTAGCTTTTCTTTTACAGGCTGTGGTTCTCACATAGCTAGGGCCCTAGCCCTGTGGCTCAGGTGTGTGGCAGCAAAGACCAGTGGATTTAAAACAAGGTCTAGCAAAGAGTGTTGTTCAGACTTGGGGCTGGGTTGCAGGAGAAACCACTATTGGCCTAGATCTCGGCTAGACTCGTCTTATGTTGGTTTTCAAGCCCTGGTATCAAGATGAAGGTTTGTTCATAGGGCCTGGCTGTGTGGACCAACAGCTTTGCATCAGGAATGTGTACAGTTGGATCAGATACATGTTTGTCTGGAGGCTCTTAGAGGTATTTTGGTTAGGATTGGGTTTGTATTGATGTTTTTTGTAGCGCTAGGGCTACAAAGCTTTGGTTAGGGGCTGCTGCCAGAAGAGATTCCCTGGCTGGTTTTTTGTGCTGGTGGCTGGAAGTACTACACCTGGCCGATTTAGAAATGGTGTGGACTGGGTTCCCTTGGGCAGAGTTACTGCTGAAATTAAGATTTTGGCCAACAATTTTCCAAAAATTCCACAAGGCAGAGCTCAAAACTGGATGCTGAGTTATACAAGGCTCTAGAGCTAGCCAGACCCTTATCTCAGTTGTGATCTGGCACTGGCAGAAACTGCTGGTGAGAGAAATGCATTTGATTAGAATCCAGGTTAACAAAAGAAAATAAGGTTGGGGCTTAGCCTAGACTTCCTGAGACTTGCAAGGACATGCAGGAGATAATGTATGTACAGGCAGCCAGCTGGCAGAGAGGTTGATGGGCCTTGTCAGGCTAGGGCCAGGATTGGATTAAATAATCACTTTTGAACAGGAGCATAACATGATTTACCTTGTGGAATGAAATAAGAAATTATTTCAATTCTTGTTTTAGGGCAGAGGCCAAAAGATGCAAATCTGCTCTAGCAGCAAGGACCTATTGTTTATGGCTGGCTTATTGTTGGATTTTAGTGATATTGCCATATGAGGATTGGGGGTGATGACAGTGAGGGTCTTTTGTGCAATTTAGTCCTGATGCTGGCAAAGTTTTCCAGAGGAGATTATGCCTCATATTTGGGAGAAAGCTGCAGGTCAAGCAGGAAGTGGTGAAGGATCTAGTCCTGGAAGCACTGGTAGATCAGGGTTAGGATGATGCTCCTGGGAATAGATGAGCTGGATTTAAGGGTGAGTGCACAGAAAGAGTAAAAGGTAAGGCTT